TACTTCTTGTGCAACTGCAAGCAAACCGAGTCTAGACCAATTTGCGATAGAGCTCATGGAAAAGTTTGTACTTTCAACTTTTTTCTCCATTGAAGATTTCATCTCGTATCTCATACAATGGTCTCAATTCCAGTTGGTGGTTCCACCGAAAGATATAGATGCCACTCGCTTTGTCGCATTTGGAGACAACTCACCCGTATATGAAGGCGTCGCTCGTAGTCTTGGCTATAAGCCCAAGAGTGGTGGTTTTCAGTAGATTTTAGTTTGTGAGAGATTTAGAAAGAATAAATCTTTTTATATTTGGTCATGTGTTTACGCACCAATGATCCTTTAGTCATTATCATGTCTTTACATATTGAAATTAGTTGTGTTGCAGCTTTACCCATTCAGTTCTTCGGAGGAAATTTACGTTTTTTCGTCATCAAATGCTGGTTTTTTGCCCTTATTGTGGATCCATGTTGCAAATTGAAGAAGGTGATTCTTGTATGCAGTTCTCATGTCCGTCATGTCCTTACGTATGTCCTGTTACAAAAAAGGTAATTTGAAGATCGACTTTCACTTGCGATACTACAGTTTTATATTTTAGGTAAGTAGTCGTATATACCCTAAACTAAAAGATCTTGAGGAAGTTCTTGGCGGACCATCAGTATGGGATAACGCACAGGTATGGATCTCGCAATATGGGTTCTTTCTGTTCATTTATCTGTTATGTTCTAATGTTACCATACTCTGCGGATTTTCGCTCGTAAGGAATACATTCGAGAAATAGGAAAAGCTCAAGACACCTGACTGTCAAAGCGGATGCTTAGAAACTGGAAACAACTTTTCTTTTGGTTGGTAGAAAAAAGTAACACGTCATTTTCTGATACACTCTTCTTTCAAAAATCTTTTGAATGAAGTACAGTGTGTACGTTCTTTTCCTGAATAAGTTAGAATTGATGAAAAGATGCTAAAAATATCTACTTGGAAAGGGAGTTGTACTTGTCACCTTATCTATCGCCTAGACGTTCGAAAAATTTAATCTTATTTTGTAACCAATGAACTATTTACCTTTATCTATTCCACTTCCTATCTTCTTTCATACAGAAAAACGCTAAAATTAGTCTTTGAGTTTTAGGCGATTCTTAATAGGAATAATAGTGAATAAAACAAGCAACTCCAATGTGAGAAGTGGCTTTGTCAAAAGAGCACACCAGTAGGTATCTCTTGAAAAATGATCTTGAGTTTTGCTGAACACCTGGAAGAAACTATTTGAGAGCCCGAGCGCTCATTTTCAAGTATAGGTAGATGGTCCAATTGTGCAGAGCTACTTCAGTATCAGCATCTACGAAAAAAGCAATGCGCTTTTCCAGACTAAGTTCTCATCTCTAATAATGTTTGAAATGCCTAATTAGCTATATGAGCGAGCATTCGTGCCAATGTTTGTTTTACTGTTCTATTTGTCGTACTTACAGGTAACAAATGAACGATGTCCGAAATGTTCGCATGAGCGAGCATATTTCATGCAGATACAGACGAGGTCTGCTGATGAACCTATGACTATATTCTACCGATGCGCAAATGCTGAGTGTGCGCATCGCTGGAAAGATTAGTTCAACAGAATTTTAATAAAATATGATTTATATATGTTGTATACTATTATGAAGTGGTTATTCACAATCATTACTTGCGATTCTATGCGTTGTAATTTAATGCTGTAAATAGCACCATTTTACCTATGAAAATCTATATCTTCATAAATATTATCTATTTTTTCAAAGCCTTCTTGTACTCCTCCTCGTAGATCTTCTTAAGCGCTTCTACACGTGATCCTACATCCAGCTTCTGCACTTTATCTTCTAACGACTTCCCTCCTCTGACGATAGCACGAGCGAGTGCTCGAATTGGTGCTGATTCGGATAACTGAAATATGTCGTTTACCTAAGCGGTACTTAAGCATATCACATTTAAGCTTGCACATAAATAAAAAGGGATGGAATAATGACGATTCTTCACAACTTTGCAGCCGTTCCTCTTGTTCTCCTTCCGATTTTGGCTCAGTACACATCTACTTTCCTTCAAACAAATTCGCTATTTTATAGAATGATAGAACCTCACCTCCTGAATCACCTTCTCGTTGTTGAGTAACGCTCTGATGAAACGAAAGACCATGTCTCAATTAAATCGGCAAAATGAAATACTTTATTGTGCGTAGTTCCCTGCAATATCTAACAACACTTTTTTAGTTCCGTAATTTCTGTTTCTCCCCTGACTGATTATATGCATTTACTGAAAAAAGTCCTCTTTCATAAAGTGAGTTTTTGATAATTGTTGTGTCTAACAGCCCATTTGAATACCTTCTGCATTCCATTTCAATCAGGAACACCGTTCGGTTTCTCCGCAACCGACTTCATCACAGGCTCCTGTCAGCAATGAAGTCGATGAAATAGATACTGATAAGAAAGACGACGGTGCAGTTTGCTTTACCGATCTACCAAGTGAGATTCAGATGACTATTCTAAAATGCTTATCCTATGATGATATCGCTAAATTGAGAAGAGTAAGTAATTTTTTTACAAATTTGTATAGAGTAGCTCTGTCTTCTCATTTAGACGTGTAAACTTATGAATACCCTATGCTCTTACCTACTAAACAGAGGATTTCAACAGCTGGGAGTTGATATTGATAGAGAAAAGTTACGTATTAAACGTGAGTTGCCTCGACGAGAATCTATGAGAAGGTTTGTATATGAGAAATCTGAACAATGCTGGGCTGGGCAGATAACAGTTTTCAAGATCACATCGACTTTCGCGTTT